TTTAGTAAAGTAATACTTTATTTATTATTAAATTAAAGTATAATAGAATAATTAAAATAATATAAAAAGTTAATTTAAATTATTCTTTACTTAATATAAAAAAATTATAAAGATTAGTTAAAATTTGAATAATTTTTATTAGAAGTAATTATTAATTTTTATATTAGTATATCAATCTTATTGTATCAGCCTATATAAAGAAAAAATTTCAATTTTTATTAATAAAATTGATTTCTGATTTTAAAATTATAAAAGTTATTATATTATTTTTTCTGAAAATTTGTTTATAATTTAAATATTAATAATTTTATTATATTATCAAATTTTATTAAGTAAAAGCTTTTCTATTACTTAATATTAAAATTAATAGAATCTTAATTATTATTTAATAATAAAATTTACAAAAAATTTTATTTAAAATACAGATTAAAAAATGAATTTTGAGTATAAAACTTTTTATTATTAAAAATAAGAATACTTACTGGATATTATTTTAAAAAATACTGAAATGTCAAATTCAGAAATTACATTAGATTATATACTAATAGTTAATTAGTATTTTAATATTTGATAAATTTATTATATTGTAATAATAAATAATATTACATTTTAATAGTTAATTAGTATTTTGGCTTTGATGTTATATTATTACAGAACTTTTAATTAGTAAATATTTAACTCTAATCCTAACTCTAACCCAATGAAACAAATATTTTTGAATTAAAATTATATAAAATTTTTCTAAGTCAATAAGTTTTTATTTATTAATAAAAAATGATAAATATAATTATATAAAACTTTATTATCAATAAATAAATAAGTATTGTATATTAATACTATTTTTAAAATTATAAGAAATGTTGACTGGCAAATTTATCTGCCAAAGATTACAGAATAAGGGATAAAGTTTAAATATTATTATTAATAATAGTTTAGCAAGACAATTTTTAATATAATTTAAATCTGAATCTCTGAAGTATTTAAAAATAAATAAAAAGGATAAATTTCTATATTGCATAAAAAATACTTTAAATGTAATATTATATTGTATTTCTTTTTTCTCAATTATTATAAATCGAGACATATTATTTGTTAAATTAAGAAAATACTTTACTGTTTGAATTATTTGATGAAATTATTTTATCAAATATAATATATTTAGCTAGTTTATTGTGAAGTTCGAGATAATTTTAATAAGTTTGGCAAGTTTATTATATAAAATATTCTTTGAATTGTTATATATTACTATCAATATAATTTTAATATTTTTATACGGCGCTTTATAAAAAGATATTTACTTTTTATGTCATATTTTGCTTTCTATTTAACTCAAAGATCCTGAACATATTAAAAAATATAAGCTGATGTTTTAATTCCGGAAACATACAGTAATAATGTATATGTGAATCTGAAACATTGAAAATCGGTTTCCTGTCAAATTTCAACAACCGAATTATTAATTTGACATTCGAATTTCATTTTGAGATTCGATTCTATTCATTTCCCTAAAAAAAAACAAAACTCTAAAATTCAAATAACTTATATAATACTGTAGGCTTATTTATTATGAAATTAGGTATGCCCGGACATTTTCATTCTACATTTATAATCAGTCGAAAACGCATAAACTATAAATATAGATGAACTCATTGAAAATAATGGAAACTTTCATGTTTCAAACAGATAATAAAATCTTTTTAATGGTAATCCAAGGTCTAAAATTCGGCGATGTACAACCTCTCGACAAGATATAATATCCTTAGATTGGAGGCATTATGTTCCTTTAATATATTATAGTCACATGTTTATCTGAGGAAGGCACTCAATATTAAAAGGATTTTATGTAATATTATCACTGCACCAAATACCGAACGAACGACATCCCGAATGCACGAAATCCCGAAATTGTGATAATTTTGGACAACTTCGGGGGCCGTTTGTTCGGGATTCGAGCATTCGGATGTCGTTATTTTGGGATTTCGTACCAAACCAAATTCTTTTCTATATTTTTCTTGGCTTTGGCCGTCGTTCAATTTGATGATCAACTATTTGTTCTTTTTTGAAATTCTTGAATAATAATATATACATCTATATATGCAACCAAGTTTCCCAACGACGACGACACCATTTTTATTTGTGTTCATGGAATTCCCAACTCCAATGAACATACACAAACTGCATTCCATTCGCATTTTGTAATTGTCTTCTCATTTTTCCATGAATTATTTTCTTCAAACCATTGGACGGTTTGGGACACAATAAGCCATATGATACATGTAAATTTAATCGTATTTAAAAATAAAATAAAATTTTTTTGAATATTGATCAGGACGATTATTCCTAGATCAAAATTTATTTAATCAAATGTTCAGGTGTTTCCCAGCGGAGAAAGAATTTGAAACATATAATTCTGGTCTGAATTAATGGTCGTTGCGCCAAAATTCTATAATGTGGGCCCATAAATTACACAAGAATAATCTAGTCTATATTAATAATACCTGACGAATGACGAATGTTTCGTGAATGATAACCATTAAATAACCGCGAACTTTGAGTTTGTAATTTCCTCTTTGAGAAGTACAATTTCATAGGCTTCTTTCATTTTTTACGAATTGGACGCTATAATTTAAAACTCCGTCGCGTTAATTGAATTTTTTATATATGTATTTAAAGCGGAGTAAGGGTATGTGTATGCAATGCTAGGGTGTAAAAAAATTGAGTGCCGCCTAAAATCCCGAAATCGCGACTTCCCAACCCCCTGATATTCCCAAAAATTAAATAGAAGTGTAAAGGTATGTATGAAAAAGTAAGGAATGTAAGGCTGGTACAAATTTTGCCCTTTTTATAATCGTTACCATAGTGGTAATCATTATTTATTATACGAGCCTATATAGATTTCGCATCATGTTTTATTACAATATTTTAGGTGTCGGAATGCTGGGGATTGTCTGGATTTTTGTCTAGATTTTGGGGACGTTCGGGATTTTGGGGTAGATTCAAAAAATCAGACACTTTTGTTATTTCACGTTAGATGATCGGGGATTACTTTTTTGGTTTTCAATGAATTCGTTCATTCGGAATGCCATTCTTTTCGTTCATTCGGGATGTCGTTAGTTCGGGATTCATTCGGGATTTCGTTTATCGAGCTTATGAATTGTCGGGATTATGTCAGGATCAATTCCAATATAAATTACCTGTGTGAAAATGTATTTCGAAAAAATCCAATTCTGTTATGATTAAATCTGATCTCACAGCACCTCCATATAATCACACCGTCTTAAAAAATTATCTTTATGACGATTACTGCACAATTGCACTTTCGGATTTTTGATTACAGTATTGTAACTAACAATATAGAGATCAAACTACACTTGAGAACTTCGATGCTGATTTTAAAATTTTTCATTACATAATTTTTTAGAATTCAGATTTATAGGGCCGTATGTAAGCCTTTTTAATATTTTATTGTGCCCGTGACGATAACTCGACTGTCCTCCTATATTACTATAAATTATGCGAGATCTTAAGGTATTGATTGAGTCTTCTAGAATGATGTTTTCATTTATATATATTAGTTAAAATTAAATTTTGAAAAGAAAGAATGTTTATTGATAAATTAAGTTTAAATGAAAATTAGATACAGTCACACCTCTTTATAAGAGCGCAGTATATAAGAACAACCTCTATAAGAACTGGGTTTTGAGAACCATATTAAGAATCTCCTCTTTATAAGAACAAACTTTATAAGAATCAGATTTTCCGGCCCAACTATGTTCTTGGAGTGTATAGTGACGGTTTGATCGTTATATTCTGTGAAGTATCAGTCGGTGGAAAATGTTGTTTTATTTTTATTATTTTATATTTATAAATTTAAAGAGTATTAAACGTAAATTAGGAATATGTCTTTAGAACTTATTATGTATAAATTTCATTTTGATAAATTATTAACGTATACTGTTGCAACTAAATATAAATTAAATATTTTTGGTAGAATTATTTTAAGATATAGTACGTAGTATACATAGCAATTATATTAAGTCGAAAATAAAAAAGAAAAGTTATTAAAATTAAGGAATTAAGTTCGTGCATAAATAAATAAACATTTGAGTTATGAGTATTGGGATGTGTTGTAAAAGGAACCAGCATTTTGATTTAGGTTCATTACATTCCAATAAACATATTGTTCATTAGGTAAACAGGAAACCTCAACTTGCTGCTGCTCCGGCGAGAAAATTGGTTGTTGAATCGTCGCTGATTGATCCAGATAAGTATCGAGCGGATTTAAACAATTTCTTATAATATCGTACGAGAAGGGGTAATTGTGTGGCAAAAATTGTTGGGTTTGATATTCACATGGAAAACCTGCATTATTGTGCCCATATTCGATTTGAGGATTCAAACCTATTAAACTCGGATTATTTGGATTTATGATGTTGCTAGGATGGTATCTTGCGCTATCAAATGGCATCTCTCTTCTCTCATTTGTCAACTCGGCTGACGACATAGTGCTAATTTCTTCACGAATTTTTGCCACTTCTTTGGCCAATTCTTCATATTTACGCTGAACTTTTCTGGGTTCTTTTTGCCATGACTATCAATAAAGCATAAAAAATTTAATCAGATAAATACTAATAACCATAGAATATTCCACAAAATTTCAATATATACCTTTGACGCCAAAGCTGAGACAGTTCGCATTGATATACAGTAACCCTTTGCTTTCAAAGCTTTAGCATATTGACTTCGATATATCAAGAATTTATTTGTCGCGCGTGCTCGTAAAATTCCACTTGGATCACGTCGTATTAAATCTTTTGGATCGACATCTGGTGGAAAAGGGACCTGAACTGCTGGCACTTTGTCTGCGGGAATATTACGTAAACTCTCTCGCAGTTTTTCGCGGCTCTCGTAATCTTCCGATTCATTAATAAATTTCAATTCCGTTGTCGTTGAACTCATTTTCATATCTCAGAGTAAAACGAAAAACAAGTAAATAGATTTCAAGCGAGAGTTTTATTTATAAGAAGAAAATTATGTTCTAAATCGAATAAAACAGCACTGCGTCTAAAAATATATTTATAGAAGCGCAAAAATTACTCTACTTGATTATTAAATGTTTATCTTACTTGGATCAGAGCGAAGCACCCGCTCATTTTATACATGAAAAGATTTAATCACATGCATAATGAACCATGCCGACGTTTCGTTTCCATCTTGGATAAATTCTTTTTCCAGATGGACGCACACACATTGTCTTTTTATATAAGGTAATTATTCATTATTTTATCAATTAACTACGTTCTCTCAAAAGACCAGACATTCAAGATAAGATTAGCAGTTATCTTCGTGACTTTAGATATAAAAAATTAAAGTTCTTTTTATTGTCCGATTGCTAATTAAGGCATTCAGAACATCGCCAGATACATATTTTGCACAACAATAATATTTTGTTTCAAATTTCTATCATTTGACTAACGTAAAATAAAACACTTTTAATGTTTGTTACCATTCATAGAAATTTGGTTGTCATGCCAGTTTTAAAATAACAACAAACGGAACGGAACGCATAAAATCTTCTTTTCCAAACACATGCGTTACAATTTTTGATAACATGTAAATTAATATAAGACGGCAAAGGAAATCCCGATCCGAAGATCAATTCATGTCAATTGCTTTATTCTAATGCAATAAACCGTTGGATCATGCCACGCTTTTTAATTATGAGATAATATCGCAAAGGACCTAGATACAGATTGGCTTAGTCTACGGACGGGAGAATGCCGAATTTTGAAAATGGAAGCGATAAAGATTTGACTGTCTAACTTTAAATTTACGCGCGTATGTTTCGTGTACAATTATTTATTTTGATAAAATTATGCATCAATACAATTAATCATTAATGATTGACGACAAAACAGAGAAAACAGTGACAATGTTGTTATATTTATCTACGTGATCGAACTGAAAAAGTCTTGTAATAACTATCATTTGGAACTCCCCTGAGATCTTCACCTTATCAAATTTTTAATTTGTTATTTGTAATCTTAAATTCAATGATAAACTTCACACACGTCTGTTATCTTTAAAACGTGTGTAGGTTCGTTATAAGCGAAACGATTTAAAAATGTAAAACTGTTTCTTTTCCGCTGTCATGCGATATTCATTCAGGGATGACTAAGAAAATCATGCTGTTCAGAAACAATTGTTCTATTATTGTCAAAATGATTTTGAAGTCATTTGCAGATGTTAAATAATTGATTAATTAATTATTTTGCATTTTGGACTGTTCCTTTGTTTAGTAATTACAATAAAACACAATTAAATTAAATTTTATGAGGATATTTAGAATAATTGAGCTTTTTATGGGTTGAATTATCCAAGACATATGCTTTCGCGCAACAAAGAGCCGCTAATTTATTTATGATTCACCGGATTAATAATTAATAAAGAAATTTGATTAATTAGAAGATAGCAGAGAAAATTTTATTATTATGCGTAGAAGAAAGTCCTTTTCGTAAATACACGTAATTGGGATCGTCAATTTGTGAACAATGCCTGCGAAAATCTTAATTTTTTTGGTTCATATTATCTCATGAGTTCTACAGAATTTATTATTTGGCATTTAAAATTAATTTTCATGTACATGATCTGTCATGATCAATAACGATAAGACAAGCCCATGACCAGATTAGTCTCATTGATAGGACGATCTAATTATTTCGCTAAGGAAACGCATTTTTTTCTTTATTAATTATCAGAATATGTTTTTAATAAAATAGATCAATTAATTTTTTTACATGTACAAAGAAACTAATTTCTAGTTTTTTGCACTATATTCGTTGTAAATTCTCAACCGAATAATCATATGTCGTTCCGTGCTCTGTAATAGTAATAATGTAGTGTTGTAATGTTTTGATGGGCTTGATCTAATAGCTACGGTATAAATCATGCATTGTGAGATTTTTAATCTATAGCCGAAAAACTTTATGAATTGTTTTAAGAGTATTGTTACCACATAAAAACGATTTCCTATTTTATTTCATTCTTATTAGTTTGCAACGTGTAATGATTGATTGAGTTTGACGTTATTAAATTCGAATTCTTCCCAAGCACAACAATGAGAATTTATTATGTAGATAGAATTTAAATAATAAATAATTTGTTGATCATATTAGGGTTAGATACGGTATGTTCGTTTTACACCAAAAGTGTCCAGTAATTAGCACATCTCGTTCTTTGAGTCCAGACCACTTGTGCTTATCGCTGGAAAAATACGGTAGCCATAAATTTAAGATCCGGATGGTTAGCACTTTAACTTCATCAGATAAGTCATTGTCATTAAATATCTAACGAGGCTCAAAATATTGATAAGAAAAATTGATGCCTGACCATTCGTGGACAACAACTGCATTTGATCCGGATCTAATTTATAAGGTTACGTACATGAAATTTAAAGCTGATTGACAAAATGTTACATTTTAATTTAATTTTTAAATTTGATTTCTTAATAGCTAAAAAAATCTGATTCACTACATCTATTATAACTGATGAATGATACTGTCATAATCTTCAAAGATCCAGAATAACATATTGATATATTGGTACATGGATGAAATTTCAAAGTTTACAATATGTTAAGACAAAAATTGACAAATAAAGAGGCACAAAGTTTTTCGAAAGTTATATCATTCATTGTCAGAAACACCTTAATAGCCTATGCAATAAATAGGGATACAGAATAAATTTTATCTCGCAACTGAAATTAATGATCATTTACAAAATTCTGTTGCCATATTCAACTTTCGGCTAGTCAGCATTGAAGTTCAAATGTAATATTTTGGTCTATTTCGCATAGGACATTCGGTAACAATTTTGAGCTAGAAACTCAGATAGATGTTTTCTCGAAACATTTAACCTCGCGCTGTACAACTAATGATTAGAGCCAGGTCGGGTACAATTGTCATAATAGAATCCATCAAATTAAAAACGTCATATGGTTACGATTATGGATGAGATATAATTATGATTAAGCTGATGCGCATAAGATAATTATTAAATAACTAGGTGCATAATCTGTGACTTTGTACCTGGGAATCACGTTGGGTGTGCCGAATTCTACGATAACCGCAATAATATAAGCATTCTGAATCTGAGGGTAACGGGTAATAATATCCTTACCGGGTTAAACCTTCGGATGCCCCCGGTCACATTTTTTTTGAAGGGACCAATCAATATGCACTACAAACAACTGGGTAATCTAAATGGACAAGAAGTGTTCGAATCATTAACAATAACTCTGAGTAATGTAAAGGCAGCTTTCAAATATGTATACAAGCACGTCATTCTTTTGTATTTTGAATATAAAATGTGTATTAGAGTGATTGAAGTATTAAAATGATCAAAGAAAGCAGAAGTATCAAAGTAACAAAATTTAAAAATTTACTGTTCTATTGAAAGTTTGCAATCGGAATTGATTTTAGCATCAGAAGAAACAACAATTTGCATAAACACTCTATGATCATTTGCTCGTAAATTCATTATACTTCAAGTGCGGAACATAATAATTTTGAGCTCTCTTGGCCAATTTGCATCCAAATATTGTGTATCTGTCATTTTGATAAAAGTCACTAACGCATCCATTAATATGCGTTCTTCAAGCTAAAAACAATATTTAACAAATATAGTCAGTTTGTTGCACTGCATGTGTTTTCGAGAACGACAACCTATTTTTGCACTCTCATATCGACAAGTTTTGTTGTTAACAATTATGTTGAACAAAAATTTTGAAACTGTTCATTTCCAACCACGTATATCTTTCTTCTAATTTGTCTACAACTATTTTCAGTTCGCCAAACTCTTCGATTGATTCCTTTAAAGTCTTACTATCGGGAATTTCAGTCTAATAGGAACTTCAGAAAGGCACACAAGCACATTGTATCCAGTACATCAATAGTCGACAAGATTGCCTTCACGCGTCAACTCCTTATGACGTCAAAGATGGCGTCTGAATCTTTGTCAGTGTGTAAGTTGAATGTCAAAGTATAAACCGAATTTTTGAACGAGATAAAATTATGCAGTATATGTTAGTTCAACGACCATAGAATCTCCGATAAATTTCAAATCTTAACAGATGTCAAACATCTTGAAATAAAAGAATAGTTAAAACGCCAAACCAACATCTTTTAATAATGTTTTAGAGATTCAAGTGACTCAAGATCATTTACTAGGGTTTCGAATGAAAAAAATATGTATACCGAAGCTGCATCTTCGCCTTGAGAAATTAAGCCAACTGAAAAAAAAAGAAAATGTTGATCATTTTAAAGTGGAAGCGCGCAAAGGAGTCGGTATTTCATCGTTATTCCTTTCTGAATTTGCGTCTTGTAAATGTTTCCCAATAACTTGGTCTTTGTAGAGAATTTTTTCAAATTTTCTGCGTTTTCGAATTTTTAGTGTCCGAGGCACCATACGACGATGATTGGATCTTTGCTGCAATGCAAATCAATTTTGCCCATCATTGAATATTTTATTAAGAAAAAAATTCATAGGTTAAATGCTTGAAGTTAATCTAATCATAATTATTAATTATCTAAAAGTATTAGTATTATTAGTCTATTTTAAAATATATGCTATATTATATTTAAAGCAGTTAAATATGGTTTGCTGTAAAATCACGATTTAAGCGATTCCTGAACCAGAGGGTTGCTTAAAAACCATTATTAATTAAAAAGACACTAACAAATTTATCGTCACCTGCATAAATCTCGCTCTCCTAATTGTTGCTCACCAACTCCCAAATTAAAATAAAAATAAAGTAAAATAAAAAAGTAAAGTAAAATTTGTTTAATACTTATTATGTATATTGAAAAAGGGGTGTCATATTTTTCGTGTTGCTTACTTTACCTCATAAGAAATATAAAATAATTGTTTTCTAGTTTATTTTTTTTTTATGAGCATACTTGTTTCTCATAATAGTAGTATGAAAGTAATGGGTATTTAAACTTTGTTCATCCTCTATGTAATTTTATATTCAATAGTATTCCATATTCCATTGCAAACCAACGGGGACAGCATTCATATTCATGCATGAATTCACTTCACGGGTGTCGTCGTATATTATTGGTTCGCCGAAATAATTATGAGGAAATTGAATCATTCCTTGTGGAAAATTTAAATAATGAATCGGAAACGATAAATTCGAATTCTGGGTCAATTCATGCTGCAATAAATGATAATTATCGCTCATCACCAGCTCGTTATGTTGAATCGAATTGTTAATGTCGGTGATTTCGTGTTCTAGTGAATTTATGCGCATTGAATCTTGATTTATGCTTTGTTCAAATTGAATGTCCGGTAAAGATTCCAATGAATCCGGTAAATCAGTTGGACTCGAGGAAAAATTGTCCGAGTTAACTGAAATTGTCGGTGATTCGGAGCCAGAATCAGATGATGAAGAAAACGCTGTTTCAGAAGGGGCCGATGTCATTGATAATTGTACATGAAGTTTTTCGACTTCTCTTGCAATATCTTCATAATAACGAATAACATAGTTTGGTTCTTCTTTCCATGCTCTTGCAGCCATACAAGAAACCTTTCGCATTGAAATTTTATAACCGTAAGTCTCAAGTTGTTTGGCATATTCGTTACGATAAATGAGAAATTTATTGGTGCAACGAGAACGTAACTCTCCCTTTTCATCGGTTCTTATTAGCTCAAATGGATTAATCTCGGGGGGGAATGGAACTTTAATACACGGATTTGGTTCAGGAATTATGTGTTGAATCGGTTCTTCAGGCGAAGTGCAAACGAATGATTCTTGAATAAAAATCCATTCTGGTTTATGGTTATCATTATTTTTTCCATTTGTTTTGAAATCGTCTTCGTCAAGTTGAGATGTGGATGCATTAGAGAAAGTAGTCATAGTCATTTTGATAATAATTATTTAGCGTTAGGACAACCTCGCTTTTACGAATTCGCTAAAAGCTAAAGTACTTTTAACTTTAAGCTAAAGAATTCTTTTGTTGTGACTGACATTTGGGAAAGGGCGGCTTTTGTTCGTATTTATTGGCATCAGCTCGAGGAAAGCCACTTATCACGTGCTTTACTTTTCTCAATTTAAAAAATCTAATCAGTGATTCGACGAAAAATACTCTCTTATGTGTATAGATAACAATTTCTTTAAGCTATATATCATTATGTTAATCGGATGCTTTCCACGTGCGGAAAATGAGTTTCATATGTCATAGTTTAAATTGTAAAATATACATACAATGACAAATATTTTGTGAAATTGAAATTTAACAAATTGAAATAATCACAGCATTAAACGTCAAATCACATTTATAGTTATCCGTGCGTTAAATTCTGTTCTCATTGTAATAAAAATAAGACTCGAAAGTCTCCCGCATTGCAAATGAAATCAACACGTGTTATTTGTACTTTTGGAAAGTCTTTAATTAAAAAATAACCAATAAAATCTCCGTTAATTCGATCGTAGATGACAACGCATGAGTTTCATCCGATAGAAAACTTCCGAAAATTAAGTTGGGGATTTTCTCATCGAATTATAGCGTGTTTGACATTTTGTAACTCGTAATGCCCCAATACATGATTAGATAGAAAAAAGTGCATGTAACATTTAAATTTCAGGTTAGATTGTTTATGGGGGATGCAAGATACGCTCATTTATTCTTTGTGGATGGGTAATTACCGTTATGTTGAAAAAAGCTGATTTTCATTTGAAATAATATTATAAATTCTGCTAATTCACAAGCGTAGTGCAGTTTTACATTGTTTTATTTTCATCCTTCGATAGGCCCAAATTCTTAATTTACAATAATTCATGAAAATGAATTTCAATTGATTATTCATTATTCGAATTTTATAACAATGCGTAATAAACTATCGTCATTGTCCCGTATGAATAAAATTTATTTCAGGCACTCGCTATATCTTTATTTCTAAACTAATAAGGTTAGGATGCTGAAAACTATAAAATCATTGTTTTCCTGAATTTACGCGCGCGATTTTTAGTAAAATTTTTGTCTTGAACAGATGAAGCTAAAAAAAGAGAATTAAATGCCTCTTATGTTCTGGATTAGTCTTCATATCTTGTTTAGGATATGTTTACATTGACAATAGATTGCTAAATAATTGTAAAATATTACGGAATGCATAAATAAGAAGGATTATTTTAATGATGAATCTTGGTTTGGATAGACTGTACGACCTTTGTGATTGTGAACCAGCAATCACATGAATGTTGTGGATTGACTAACTAAATTTATTTTATTTTGACAAGATATCGTTATATCGCGCTAACGAACACCATTGAAAATTAATACGTGTACTACTATTACATAATGTGAAATGTTATCAATCTTGATTTGTAGTACTTTAACTAATTACATAGCTCAAATACCTGAAAGATCAAAGTTCTCTTGACATCTATAGCTTCAATCATGTTATTCACGAGCTCAACATAATGATTATTAAACTCACTTCCAAGCAGATATGCTGCATCTTTCTTAACAGTCGATGCACAGACTTTATCTTATGTTCCGAATGATCCTGAACCCCAAAAAAATCGGAAAAGTCATTTTGGTTTGATGAAATACGAAATGATACAATCAGGCATTTGAGCTAAAGATGCTTGCCTAAAATGTTTTGGAAAAAATTTTAGTTTCGGCCGCTTGGTGGGTAAACTAGCTTTCACTAATTAACACCTTTGGTTTAACTTACCAAATCTTTCTTAACTCAACAATATCAAATCAAGTCTCGGGTTTTTGCTGTGTTTCTACGAAAATCTTTAATTCGAGTAGTTTTATTATGGAACGTAATAATAATCTCCCTTGAGTAGAATTAAAAAAGAAAAACTTCAGATCATTGAAGTCAGATCGTAGATACATGTACATGTATTAATCCTTTCATTAATTAAACTATAGATCAGCAAGCGGGGACAGGAATCGATTGCGGATTATTAATAAATCTACAAAATGCTACCAAAGGTTGCGGGTTGTAAATTTATATATATACCTGCGGGTAATTATTTGACATCCGGAAATTTTTGAATCAAACTTATCTAAAGACGGGCCATTTATAAAATGAGAATTAAGGGTATTTAACTGCATCTGAATTTCTAGCTTTTATTAAGAAAATATACGCATAACGGGAACAATTAACGAAAGATGGATAACTGTGCATAAAATTAAATTAGATATTCACCATTCCTTGATAAGCTCTGATTCAACAGCAATAACTGACAGTTTTTTATTTTCTATTTGCTCTATTTCATAATATGCGAGATTACTCTTCCAAAAGTGCTCATTTCTTGTGCTGATGAGATCCGTTTGAAATCGAAGATAAAAGCTTGTCTATAAACAAATTTCTGTTTTCTAATAAAAATGTCCTTTACGAAATTGTAATAAACTCTTATGTGCAAGATAATCTTAACTCCAACCCCTAATTTTAACCGAGATGTTATTAATATTTCATATATTGCGATTCGATTTGTTTACCTCTTAAAAATCACATGGTCTCATCATTTATTTTTCGTCATGGCTAGGGGGACATAATTTACTTTAAATTGGGGAGGGGTGTTGGAGGTCTCAAACGGTGTTACGATAAAACATATAATCATCCTTAGGAGTTACGTATTACAAATACCATATTCTCCGGAAATAAGCACCACTTGACTGCCGTTTTCTTGAACTCCAAAATAGGGTTCTAGACAGTTTTGAATATTTACCGGATTCATCTGGGAATAAGCATCACTCCCTCCCTCTGGTTCAAAAAAATTATCGTTACTGTAATTTTTAATTAATCTAAGGTGATGCTTATTCATAATTTTTTACTTTTTGATATAAACTGGATTAATGCTTATTCTCAGATGGCATTTATTACTAAAGAATATAATAATTAGAAATGCTAATACTTGACTTGGTTGATAATTTAAAAAATTTATGTAATAGATCAATATTTTTGTATATCAATTCACAAAACAAAAATATATAATGATATTAATAGCTAAATTTTTAAAGAATTCAATAATAATTTATATTTAAGAAATTAAATATGTATATTTAAATTTTAAACAGGTAACTTGACGATATATAATAATCAAAAACTTTTTAAAAAAATTTAGATTTCAAAAATTTTAAAGAGTTTGAAAATGATAATTTCAAATATATATAAATATATAAATAATTAAAATAGAAAAGTTAGAATTTAATGAAATATCAAGCACAAATATTAATTAAATATATAATAATTAATACTGTAAATTCAAATCAATATATTTCTTAAGTTAAACAATATGTAAATAAAAATTATCATTATTATTTAATATGTAAATTATATGCTTATTAATGATAATTTGGAAATGATTTAAACAAAATTGTGAATTTTTAAAAAATTATCACTAATTTTGAATAAGTAATTTCAATTTATAATATTAAGATCTGTATTATATAGTAATTTTAAAAAGTAATAATTTCAAACTTTAATAAATAACTCAAATTATGTTTCAAATTATTAATTTTAATAAAATTATTAATTTTTAATAAAATAATTATATTTTTTTATTAGTGATTTTAATTAGATAAGTAAACTAATTATTTAAATATATATAATCTTTTTTATAATAAATAATATTTTATTTTATAATTTTTAAATAAGTTGAATTTATTATTTATAATTTTAAATATTAATTAATATATAATATAAAATTAGTATTATAATTTAATTATAACAAGCTATTATTAAATAGAATATTTATTATTTTTAAAAAAATTTTATAAAGTTTATATTATTTTATTTTAAAAATTATAATATTTAAAGAATTTAGTATAAATATAATTAATATATATTAAAAGTTTTTGAAAAGTTTAAATAGAATTATAATAAATAATAATTTAAATATAATTTTAATATATAATAAAATAAAATAAAGTCTTAATCTTAATAAGAAATATGTTATTTATTTTAATTTTTATTATAAATATAATCTTCTAGTTACATAATATAATATATTTAGATAATTCACACAGAAAGTCAGGATATAATATTATATCAGAAAAATTCACAAAGAAGATTCAAGATATATAGCAATATTATTGAAATAGAATTCACACAAAAAACTAAATCAAAAGCAGATAAGAGATTATGTTTTTTAAAACTTATTCTTTATTTAATATATTGGTACTTTAGTACTTAAAATTACAAAACAGATAAGCATCTTTAAATAATAAATTAATATTACATAAAATTAATAATAAAATAAATAAATTAATAATAGATAATACTTATATGATAGTACCTCCAGAAGATGCTTATTAATGAATAAATAAAGAAATAAATAATTATAAATAAAATATATAAATTTAGTAATATGCTAGCTAAATTAGTAAAATAAGAGAAAAAAGAAATTCTACTAAGAAAACTATCTATGACTAAAATAACTTAAACATACCATGTGACTTTTCTTGGTATAATTAGGTGATTGTGATATAGTAAGTTACATGTAGTACAGTATGTGGCACAGCAATAATCTGTAAAATAAAATATAAATCTAATATTATTCTAATTTTGTTACAATAAATATATAAAAAAGATAATTACAGTTATTAGAATAATGAAAATAAAATTTTCTAAGATTTCAAAATGTATTAATATAGTAATATTTTATATAATTACATATTAAATATGGCAGGCCAGGAATTATTCTAATTAAAGTACTATAAAAATTATTTAAAAATATTTTTTATAAGTAAGTATGAAAATAATTTTATAAAAATATATTTAAAGATATAAAAAATATATTTGTAATTTAAAAAAAATTTTAATTAATATTTATTGAATAAGTACTGTTACCGTAGTAGCATAAAAATCCCTAATTCCTTAATCTTTTCGTGGTTATGCAAAATCACA